CATCACTTGCTCACCAGTGGATCCTCTGCAGTGAATGGGTGCCGTCAGAATGAGAGTCCAAACAGCTGATAAAAACATCACAATAATCCACAAGACTCCAGTCCATCAATTACCATCTTATGTAGTGAAAAGCTGCAGGTTTCTGAGAAACAAATCCATCATTAAAGTATTAATTGGAGGTTAATTGCTGTACTGGAGTGCTTTGGATTACTTGTGGATTATTGTGATGTTTTTATCAGCTGTTTGGACTCTCATTCTGACGGCACCCATTCACTGCAGAGCATCCATTGCTGAGCAAAGTGATGCAGTGCTACATTTCTCCAAATCTGTTTCCATGAAGAAACACAACTATCTACATCTTGGATGGTCTGAGGGTGAGCACATTTTCATTTTTGGGTGAACTATTCCTTTAAGACATGCAGGTCTACAGTAAATTGTCTGGATTTTTGTGAAACAGGAAAATTTCACGCTTGCTCTCTCATTTGACCCCTAGATGAAGTATTCAGGTGCTATTTCAAGCGAGTGCATCATGACTAAGAGAAAGAACCTGCTGAGACACTGCAAACTCCCTCTCTTTCTCTCCTGGAGAGCTGTTACTGAAACTCCCGCAGGGAGGATAGATTCAGTTCACAGGCTTTATGCTTTTACCCTGAAAATTTCACAGATTGTGCCTGCAATCAATAATTGAACACAGCTTTAACACTGAGGTTTGTGTGCAACTCAGTTTCTCACAGCAGAATCTTTTAGAAGGAAATAGTCTGGGTTTAGTTCATAAAAAGCTTTAAAGCTGAACAGACTGTTGAGCAGTTAGCAATACAATCTGAGGAAACAGACTTTTAGACCTCTTTTTCAGCTACTGAGATGTTTCTGAGCACTTATCAAAGGGGCACGATTGTGAAAACATCTAAAGGTCAGGCAAATTTTGATGCACTATGAAAACATACTGTAATTTTTAGATCACAATAAAACATTTCCGCCACTTTCAGAAATCAGACAGATTAATTTTCTGGTCTTTACAGAAGCAAAAAGCCTTTGCACACAAAAACATCAAATTATTATAAAAATAAAATGCATGATATGACCTCTTCGAAAAGAGCAAACACTCTCACTATAACAGTAGATTCTATCTAGCTAATTTCACCCCCTGAAAGTTATTCGCAATCCAGCAAATCCCAGTTTCAATTTACTGTATTCTGTTCTGTAGGATATTTTTAGTCGCAGCTGCAGAATTAATTCAACAATCATAATCCTGGAACACTCATACATGCAAAGGCTGAAACTATAGCTGCAATCTTCTCTGAAAGTCCAGTGAATCTAATTCCCCGATAAAAAGAAACAATAGTTAAGGCTCACAGATATCTGAAAGGTTAAATGGATGATGGAGGATTATGTGGCTAAGTAGAAATAAGAGCTACTCAGGTTTAGAAGCTAAACACATTATGAAATCAGAAATATCCCCGTGCATGTTGATCGTTTCAAAGTGAATTCATTTCTGCATTCATATCAGATTTATTATAGTGTCATGCTGTAGTTTCTTTTAATATTTTGAACTAATCAAATTAAACTAAATTAAAATGAGAAGGTTTTTTTTTCAGGTAATGAATTAGGTTATTTCAAGTAACAATTTTATATGGTTTTGGTTCTAGTTTTAGTCAACTATAATGACCCTAATGAATAATAACAGATAACAGAATAAAATAAATAACTGATTCAAATAAAAAGGATCAGTATTGTTATAACTTTCCAGGGAAATGAAATAATTGAAATTAAAATAAAACAAATATTGTATTTCATCTATTTGCCAAAGCAAAATTTATTTATTTTTTAATTGAAGTACTAAAATAAAATACAAACTGCATCATTTAATGTCAATTAAGCAAAGTTACCTCCCCAAAATCACCACAATAATTTAATTCTCAATTTTTGAATACAGAAAAATTTGGATATATTACTAAAATGATCAAATATTTCGACATAATGTTTTATTTTATTACTTTATTTTATATCTGTAATTAAAAAAGAACATATTGGAGTCAGAAAAAATAAACGTATAAGTGAGTGAATAATAATAACGTGAATAACGGTAATTAAAATTTGGAAGCAAATTGTGATTAACTGTTATATGTAAAATATCAAAATGCAAAACAAGTTTTTCTTCATGCCATATTTTTTGTGAGATATACTCAACTACAATATACGAAGAGAAGTGTGTGTGTGTGTGTGTGTGTGTGTGTGTGTGTGTGTGTGACGATGATGCTACTTAAAATTGTTTGTGGGTCTCGTGAATAATTTACCAGTTAAAAGTCTGGACAAGTTAGATTTTCACATTTCACAATAATAGTTAGAAATATCATGCAGTTACAAAAACTATACAGTGTACTATACTAAGTATATATGTGTGTGTATAGAGAGAGGTGTGTGTGTATGTATTTATATACTTTATATATTTTAGGGCAATATAAATTAATAAATAAAATTTTTTTTTATGAATTTTCTGAATATTTCTCACTCTGATTATTTTTGATTTGATATATGATTATTATTTCTGTACACAAACCTTTAAGTATTTTAACTGAACAAACAAACAAATAATTAAATAAATCACTATTATTGTCGAGGTAAAACCATACACTTTATTTGCCGCACTTTTATAAATATTGAATATTTCACACGTTTTTTTTTTTCCAAAGTAAAGTTTCTGTACACATGTTTAAAGGTTAAATAAATAAATGTTTCCACCATTATTGTCCAGGAAAAATCATACTCAGAGATTCATAAACAATTAATATTTCTCAAGGTGGGAGAACAAAATAAATAAATAAATTCCACCCTTATAAAATGTTTCATATAACATTTATTTATTTACATTTATATGTGTATTTATATATTTTTTATAAATTATAAATATTTCCACCATTATTGTCCAGGAAAAAAACGCATGACTTTTTATGACATTGGTTATTGGGTTTTCTGCAGAATTCAGAATTCTTCTTCAGAATTCAACAGCAAATCATTCATGAAACACTATATTTATTTGAAGACATATTTTGTGTCAGCATATTTTAGAGTTTCTGTGCATTACTATAACTGTTTTATTTAAAACGCATTGTATTATTGCTCAATTCATATTTAAACCGGTTATTATGTTAAAAGCAAAATGCTGGGGGGGAAAACAGCCTCTTTGAACACAATCTGTGAGCTCCATAAAATCCACTGCAGTTGCTTTCAGCACATAGGGAATTTCCTAGATTAGCAGAGCACAAGCAAAACCCTCTGCCACAGGAATATGACAAAAGCCCCCGTCTTTAGTTCCGTCCCAGTGGAGAGAGTCCAAATCTTCAAACACACACTGCGCCACATCTGACAGAGATACTGGGCGGCTTAACCGCTCTGAGCTAATTAAACTGTCATGATAAAACCAGAGGAGTAGTGGAAACCTCATTTTCAGTAACAGGGAAAAAATGCTCAAAAGAGTCCATGTTGTGATGCATGCATTATTAAACGAAAAAAGAAAAAAAAGACTTATTTATTTAAAATCAACAAAGAGTCTTCTTTTTTTCATTTGCTGTAGGTTTTTATTTATTTAATTAATAAAACCTATATTGTTAAAGCAACTGTATGTAGTTTTGTGTATTTTTGCGACTGTAGAGCCCCCTACAGTTAAGTGAGTGGAATTCACTGCCGTAAATATACCTTTCGCTCCATTACAAGTCAGTGTCCCATTAGAATAATTTTGATATTTCAAGGTACAAAACATACAGTTGCTTTAAATATATTTTGAGTAAAATTTCTTAACTAGCATTCCATTCCAATTAAATGATGATTTAAAATGAAATTAAAATTTGCATCTGTAATTAGTTCCAGTTCACTCATCACTTTGCAAATGTAAGATCGAGTCAAAAGCATTGCATTGTTCCTGTAGTGGACACTGTGAACTCGGCTGGTTTATTTAGAATGTTTTGCATAAAAGAATAAATGTAAATGTAAAACCGAAAATAGGTAGAGAAGGAAAGACAGATACAAAACAGTTCAGAGAGTGTGCAGCATCATTCTTGACTGCAAAAGCAAAACCCATTTACACACAATTTGATTTGAAAAACACATATGCTTCCCTGTTCAGAAGGGTGACTGTTCTCTGCAGTGCATTTGAACCAAACAGAACAGCTACTAAATGCAAAAGCACAAGGGCATGACATTTTTATGAAAGCTAATGTTGTGACTGTAGGGGCAGTGAATACTACAAGAGAGATAATTGCCTGCAGATCCCCTGAGTTCTGGGCTGCTTTCATGTGTTGCTATTGAAGCAGACAATAAATGTATACTGAACAAAATTATAAACGCAACACTTTTGTTTTTGCCCCCATTTTTCATGAGCTGAACTCAAAAAAGATCCTTGCAACATGGGGCCGTGCATTATCATGCTGCAACATGAGGTGATGGTCGTGGATGAATGGCACAACAATGGGCCTCAGGATCTCGTCACGGTATCTCTGTGCATTCAAAATGCCATCAATAAAATGCACATGTGTTCGTTGTCCATAACATACGCCTGCCCATACCATAACCCCACCGCCACCATGGGAGCGACTCGATCCACAACATTGACATCAGCAAACCGACACCCACACGACGCCATACACGCTGTCTGCCATCTGCCCTGTACAGTGAAAACCGGGATTCATCCGTGAAGAGAACACCTCTCCAAAGTGCCAGATGCCATCGAATGTAAGCATTTGCCCACTCAACTCGGTTATGAAGACGAACTGCAGTCCTGTGCTGATCCGTTGTTAGTATATACGTGTACTGTTGGTTCCTGTTTTGCCTTGCCTTGCCGTGCCATGCCGTGCTGTGCTACGGCCTGCCCTGCCCTGCCCTGCCCTGCCCTGGCCTGTCCTGTCCTGTCCTGCCTGCCTATTTTCCCCCTCGGGGTAGTTTTTGTTGTTGTTTTGTTTTAATTATTATCATTAAAAGCCCATTTCTTCCTGCATTTGAGTCCTCACCTCATACCCGCAAACCTGACACTCGTGCTGTGAAAGACACACCGTTGATTCAGTACGCACAAGACGTATGGCCACTGACATAAGACTGCTGTATCAAAGATTCTTTAGACTCAAGCCAGACATTCCCTAAATCCTAACCTCCTTTACAACTGCAATCAATGATTCTTAAGCGATGGACTATATATATATTAATTTAAATATTCACACACTGTATAAATATTAACATTTAATTTTTCCGGCCTCTTATTGCTACCTGTCCCAACTTTTTTGGAATGTGTAGCTCTCATGAAATCCAAAATGAGCCAATATTTGGCATGACATTTCAAAATGTTTCACTTTCAACATTTGATATGTTATCTATATTCTATTGTGAATAAAATATAAGTTTATGAGATTTGTAAATTATTCCATTCCTTTTTTACTCACAATTTGTACAGTGTCCCAACTTTTTTGGAATTGGGTTTGTATATGGTAAATATATTTAATTTGCATTTTTTTCCCTCATTTAAAATAAGTATATATTGGAATATAATTATTTGTTTAATATATCATTTCATAAAATATTATTTAAATAATATTTAAATATTATATATATATATATATATATATATATGTATATATATATATATATATATATTGTTTAATAATGTAATATTTTTATTTAAAAAAAATTTTTTGGGTGCTAAATGTCATGCAGGTGTGGGAAAAGTCCTTTGGAAACAAGCCCTACAAGTCTTCCAGCATATCACAGTGACACACAGTCCACAGTTCAAGGGTTCACTGAGTTCAACACTTTATATAAGAAAACCCTTTAATGAGAATAGATGTTCAGATTCTGTAGTACTCTTGCTAGTTAATTACAAGACAGAGGAAATTTCCACTGGCTCCTTGTGGAAGACATGGAATTGATTCACTTAGACTAAATAAATGGTCTGAGCACAATAACCTCTCTGAGTCTTCTGTCTGAGGAGAGGCTAAAATACTCAGTCATTCATAAAGAAGGTTATTGTGTTCATTATTGCTCTGGTTGAATTCAAGTACCAAAGGGCTTTTTGAAGATGCTGATTTCATTTTCCAGCAGGATTTGGCACCTGCTCACACTGCCAAAAGCACCAAAAGTTGGTTAAATGACCATGGTGTTGGTGTGCTTGACTGGCCAGCAAACTCACCAGACCTGAAGCCCATAGAGAATCTAGAGTCAAGAGGAAAGTGAGAAACAAGAGACCAAAAAAATGCAGGCCACTGTCAAAGAAACCTGGGCTTCCATACCACCTCATCAGTGCCACAAACTGATCACCTCCATGCCACGCCGAATTGAGGCAGTAATTAAAGCAAAAGGAGCCCCTACCAAGTATTGAGTACATGTACAGTAAATGAACATACGTTCCAGAAGGCCAACAATTCACTAAAAATGTTTTTTTTATTGGTCTTATGAAGTATTCAAATTTGTTGAGAGCGGGAATTGGTGGGTTTTTGTGAAATGTGAGCCAAAATCATCACAATTAAAAGAACCAAAGACTTAAACTACTTCAGTCTGTGGGCACTGAATTTATTTAATACACGAGTTTCACAATTTGAGTTGAATTACTGAAATAAATGAACTTTTCCATGACATTCTAATTTATTGAGATGCACCTGTATATAGGTCAAGTCCATTACCAGATTATTAACGGTCTATGTAGGAGATAGGGAAACATCATCTCTGTCATTTGAGTAAGAAATAAAATGCCACATATTCATCATACAAACAGAGCTGAAATAAAGACTAAGTTCACAAGCTATTTATACACTCTAAAAAATGCTGGGTTATATTTAACCCAGCATTTTTTAGAGTGTATAAA